TTTCAGAAAAAAATTTGTTTCTTGTCATGTTTTTACATACTCAAATACTAAGTTCATGTTTTGGCATACACAAATACTAATTTTGTTGAAATACGACATTTTCTTATTCCATTTTATTTCACTGTTAAAGTCCGGCTTGGGAAAATTGTTTTCGCGGAAATGGCATACTTGTGCTATATGTCGCGACTGTTCTATAAATTACATACTAACAGGCGAATAAATCCTTAGTTATACAGGAATTATTGAATGTTTCCTTATCTGAAATGCAATGAACCATGGGCAAAAATAGAGCAAGTTTATCTAAAAACTTCTCCTCGAATACTCTTTTCTTGGTCCTTACATGCTTTCTGTTTATCACTTAATTCATTGTGTAGCTATCTTTCATGTAATTGTGAAGTATTCCTGTTTGATACTGCATTGAATTTGTTAACTGATTTTAAGTACATGTATATTTTGGTCAATGCGTGGGAATTGAGGAACTGTGGAGCTGAGTGTTCTAAGCATTCCATCGCATTTTCTTAGAGTACAGTCGTTAAAAGAATGTGTTTCGTACTTTGGAAAATTTTATTACTTATTATGTGTCATGCCATGATAATAAAATTTCAACATGTGCGCAGGACTGGGTGGGCCAATGTTTAATTAAAATAATGCTTTTCAAAAAAGTGGGTCTTCTTATGACATATAAAAATGCGTTTAAATTTTTAAAGTTGGGGAATAGTAGATCATATATGGTTTCTGTCATTATTACCTATTTTGTATAATATTTGTGTGTAATTTTATTACTATATGAGAAGTTAAATGTAAAAAAGCTGTAAAGTTAAGCAATGTCAGTTTGAAATTTCTATCTTAAAATTATTTGGTTAGGTCTTTTATTTTAATTACTATGTTAGATCATTATTTGAATCTACTCAATAATTTCTGTAATGTATCAAACTATGTAGAGTCATTTGTCAGGTATGATAAAAATTTCGTTCTCGAAGCTGTAAGAGTCAGTGCTAAAAAATTATGACAATGTAAAATATGGGATTTTCAGTAAGTAAAATAAAGTTAACAAATTTTATATCCAATTGGGAAAAAGGCGATAAAGTTTCATTTCCAGGCTGAATATTAATTCCATGTGTATTATAGACTTTAAGTTCTCCTTCACAAAATGGGACTATAAAAAATTTAAATAATATGTTACATGTGGATATTCTTCTCTGTAGTTAAAATAATTCAATCTTCTGTACCTTGTTAAGAGAGTAAGGCTGTGATAAGTTCAAATAGAGTAGTGTTTAAAGTCTGCGGTAATGGTGGATCATATTAAGAATCCGAATGACGTTTTCACATGAAGGAAAAATTAAGGTTCAGTGTATGTTTGGTGATTTAAGTACGATGTGTGCAAGAAAATACAAGATATTTTGAAAATATTTCAAAGAGTTAGCAAAGTGTGTTAAAGTAGAAATGAATCTTTGAATAAAAGGGTGTTCTGAATAATATACATGTATAATGTCTGTAGATAAAATAAGAAGAAATGAAGTAGTATTGGTACGTATAAACTTAAACTGGGTAGAAATGCTCCATGCATGGTTTGAGTGGGCTCTACCATGAAAATTATTGTCTTATAAGTTGTTAAGGCGTAGTCTTACAATAAAGAAACATGTGCAAGTCTGTATTTATTAGGGAAAAAAAAAATCAAAATACAGCATGAATATGTTTTAAGTAAATATAAGGGAAATGTAAATGGAGTGTAAAAATTACATTTGTCAGACAAGTTTGGGAATCCTTGAAAAAAGTAGACGTGTAAGGGATCAACAAAGTTGGTATAGTTGGCCATAAGTAATACAGTCATTAATAGTTAGTACAATACATTAGAAGGAAACGTTCGAGTATCTCCAACTTAGTAGTAAAAGTAAGAAATGTAGTATTCCAGTAAACTATATAGAATGAGCTTGTGTATTGGTTAAATTACAGAAAATATTATTCTAGTGAAGTTTATGCAGTAAATTCCAGCTTGAAATTTCAAAGACAGAGAAATGTAGGTAAGTTTATGCAGAATACAACACGAGTGAAGTTCCATATCTACTAGGCTAAGACCTGATATCATTTTCAGCTTTCTGATTGGTCCACAGAAACGTATTGTTCCTATGCGGATGTCTACCCAAGGAGAGTAAAGGCAGACGCCATTTTCGAACAAAGTCATGCACAAACATGGATATGGGTGATGTCATCCTCCCCAAAGCAAATCTTTCAAAATGGCGATTCAGAGTAAGATGGCGTTCCAACGATCAAACCTATATACATAAAAGAACCATTTCACAAGGAATTGTGGGGTATCGCTAAGTACTGGATGCGGTCCCCCCAATTCCTTTTATTCATTTTTGCGGGGACAGCGGGTTCGATTTCCCGTGAAAAAAAAATATATATACTTCTTCATTTTTTAACCATCCTGTTAACTTAGAGATGTATGTAACACACACAACTGTATCCCACTGATGGCGCCAGACAAAGTATTTAAGAAATCCATATGTTTAAAAATACCGTTTTAACTCCTCGCTGCAAATAATAAAAATTTTGAAACATTCTTCCCATTAGAATGAAATCACCCGCGGAGAAAAATGTAGGAAAAAAAAAATTAATTTTGTATTTAAAAAATTATTAAGAAAAATTAAAACTCCAAATGACAAAAAAAATGAACACATGAAAAGAAAAATAATAAAAGGGATGTGACACAAGTGACGCTTTGTCATTTTTTTACAAGTACCCATTTTATACCTCGTCCTAAGTGAACCTGCTCAGCAGGTTAAAACGCGGGTGCATCCCGCATAGCGGGTTCGGGCTGCTGGTGATTTTGATTGCGCTCCAGCAAAAAAAAAAAATAAAACCAGTGATCAAAATGGCGGCTATTCGAAGATATTCATAATAATTAAATTAAATAAAACATTATTAATTTAATAATTAGAAGAAAATTAGATAAAAAATAAATCCAACATGGCGGAGAGTCATTCAAGATGGAGGATGAAAGACCACGGTTCCAAAATGAGGACGAAACCACGTGTTCAAATGGTGGACGACAGTCACGTGCCAGGGCGGCAATAGAGCATGTGGGAAGAGGGGAGTCATAAAGATGGGGATGAAGACACGTGTTCCAAAATGGCGGACGAAAACCAGTGGTCAAAGTGGATGGCATCACGTGATCCATATGGCGCCTGTCTAGGCCACGCCCCTTTTCTGTGACGTCACTTCCGCCGCACGAATTACTCTGCCTACTACTCATGAATGATAGTAATTATTCATATATAATAATTAAAGCGAAATTTAAAAATTCATATTAGGAATGAAACTATTAGCATCGAGAAATGTATGAACTCATCAAGAATGCGTGAAACATGTGTAAAAGCATGAGAAAATCAAGGAAGATTCTTTGCTATATACAAATTGTTTCAAATATAGAATGAAATCAGAACAATATTTTAACTTTGCCATTTGGAATTATTTTAGTATGATTTTACAGAGCAAAGGTGAGGATTCAGAAACATGAGATATAGCACTTTCATGCTGTTCTACTTGTTTAACATAAATATGAAAAGAGAGAAATTCCAGGTACCCAAACTAAGATGTCAAAATTTCTAGTTACGTGGATTATTTATTATTTCTGGATTAACCAAATTTAATGTTTTCAATATTTATGTGATCTAGCAAAAATTGTAATTGTCACATGTAGTTTTTAATGCCTTAGATTTTTCTTATGATTTTTTTTTATCTTTATAGGTGCAGCTGCTGTTGAGCTTATGTCGAACTTCCGTTTTCCTTGTATGGTCTGAAATAATTATTTAAAGTTTCCGACTTAAAATTATTCTGCAGGTAAATTAAATTGAGAATTTAAGGGAGATTTATTTCTAATTCTCTTAAATATATTGATCAAGCTTTAAGATGTTGATGTTTTGTCCTACTTGCGCTAATATTCTAGTGGCAGAAGATTTGAGATATTGCTTTCGTTTTGCATGTAGCACTTGCCCTTACACATTTAATGTCAAAAGACGCATCAGTAGTCGTTCATACCCCAAATTGAAAGAAATTGATGACGTTCTTGGTGGTGCTGCTGCTTGGGAGAACGTTGAATCCACAGAAGAAACCTGCCCTAAATGTGGGCACACAAAAGCATACTTCTTCCAGACCCAAATTCGCTCAGCTGATGAACCGATGACAACCTTTTATAAATGTGCGCAGTGTTCTCACCAGTGGAGAGAATAGAAGACATGCCTGGAAATATATTTTGAAATGTTATTCATGACGAAGTCAAAACTGTGATATTTAATTTTTTTTTCCTTTTTTTTTTTTTTTTGTGCAAAAATAAAAAAAATTCTAAATAGTTCACTTTTTTCATTCACAGGTAGTGTCATTTTAAGCATGCTTACATGATATATATGTTTTATTCATTTTATATACAGTTTATTTCTTCTTGAAGAAGCGTCAACATTTATTATGACTTATAATTGAAAACTGGGAGGGGGGAGGATTTAAAAGAAAATAGCTTTACAGACAAGATTTTTATACCAATATGATTTCCTGTTTTCCTTGACAAACCCCACATGATAAAAATTCACAGAAGAAACTACACTGTCATGATTGCTCACTTGATTAATGATGTTGTCGTTTCCATGTCACATGGAACAATGGTTCCCAGAGCCTACTCGGAAGAGAGGTTGGACTTCTATTTTCCACCCCCAATTTTGAGGGAATGAACTCCGGGGGGATCCGCGGGTCTCCCACCCCTCTCCACTCCCACCAAAGGGGAGCCTACTACAGTACCGAAGGGCCCAGCGAAGGCGAATGCTCATTTTTCATCTTGCCTGCTTCCAAAAAATACATTATGTCTCTGCAGCAGTTTCAAATACAAAATTAGCAGAGCAACGTACAGGTGTTTGGCGTAGATTTTTAACTGAGACTCGATTTCGAGCTCCTGATGAAGAGGGGCTACCCTCGAAATCGATAGAGTCTTGATTAAAATCTACGCCAAAGACAAGGTTGTTTTGCTAAATTTATGTTTTACTTAAGTGTGTTTCTCTTATGTCTTGGGTTTCAAATATTTTGCAGGTAAGCATGACGAAGTAAGAATGGTAGCTTGTCATGTGCAGCTAATGACAAGAACAGACAACAAACGTTTTCGAGTAGAAAGAAGGAAAATATAGAATGTTTAAACAGAATTAAATATATGGAGGTTGATAATAATTTCCACTAACAGTAGATGACGCTGATTATTTTGAAAACAAGTGGATGCTACGTTAATAAAACATATGCATGCTTAGAAACAGCCAAAAAATATTTGTGTTTAATTTTGCAGGTAAGCATGACAAAAGTAAGAATGGTAGCTGTCATATGCAGCTAATGACAAGAACAAAGAAAACAAAAGGGAGAGAGAAAGAAGGAAAAATCTAGAAAGTTTACAACAGCATTAAAGAATGGATGTGATAAGGTTTCACACCAGTAGAGACGTCTGATTATTTTGAAAAAGTGGATGCTCACGTTAAATAAAAAACATATTTGCTTAGAACTGCAAAATATTTGTTGATAATGTGGAGGTGACCGCCCACCACGAAGTCAAGACAGGGTAGCTTGTCTAGCAGCTAATGACAAGAACAGAAAACAAACGTTTTCGAGTAGAGAGAGCGAATAGAAATGTAAAAGAATTAAATATATGGGGAGTTGATATGATTTGCACTAAGAGTAGATGACGTCTGATTATTTTTGAAAAAAAATGGATGCTCACGTTAAATAAACATATGCTGCTTAGAACTGCAAAATTATTTGTTGATAATTCCTTCGCTTATCCTTTATATGTCATGCAAAAATTTTTAAAAATATTTTTATTTCTCCGAAAGATTCAAATCCTCCGGCTGGTTGTATAGAAACTGTGATAGTTTTCTTCGCGTGAAATGCCAAAACAACCCTGTTTTCTTTGAAAAGTTATAAGGTATTTCTCCCGCCTTCCTAGCGTGCCTTCGTATTGTAGTGGTTCTGCACGCTGGGCCGGTAATCCAGAGATCCGTGGTTCGATATCCGGCGAAGGCGTTTGCTCATTTTTCATCTTGCCTGAGATCGAATTAAAAGGTGTTGTATGATGATTCTCCTCACCCAGGATTTGGCGACTGGGTCCCCTGAAAACCTCAATCGCCCTCTAAAAGGGGGAGTATATAAGGTATTTCTCCCGCCTTCCTATCGTGTCTTCGTGGTGTAGTGGTTCTGCACACTGGGCCGGTATTCCAGAGATCTGTGGTTCGATTTCTGGCGAAGGCGATTGCTCATTTTTCATCTTGCCTGCTTCCAAAAAAGAACCTAATGTCTCTACAAACCAAATCAAACGTACTCTTAATAAACTTGAGTACATCGCCAAGACCTGGATCTTACGGTTGAACTGTGCGATTTCTGAGCATGGTTTCAGGCTCACTTGTTTTATTTCTAACAACGTCAGCGTACAAGATGTTTGGGTTAGTATTAGACAACACTTAATTATCAACTTCGATAGAATCAAAGCTAGCATCTAAAGTAACATTACAACTCGAATCATGTTTCTTTGAAGTTTCATGTAATGCCTTAAAAGAATAACAAGAATTATCAGCACCAAGTTAAGTTAAGAAGTTCTCATTTAACCTTGCGTATAATTAAGAATCTCTGCCTCTTGTTAACACTCGCGTTCTAAGAAACGCTCGTACTTCACATCATCATCGGGCTGTTCATCAATCCTTTTATTGAACAGATCCACTTCTTCATATAACTTTTCTCGTAAGCCAATAGGAAGTACCAAAACCGAGGGGTCGTAAGATACTTTACGAAGTGATGCCCAATGATTTTAACCAAACGAATCTGGTATGAATATTTCATCAAGATAGTTTGGGTACAGCGCGCGGTATTGTACGTTTTCAGTGACTGGAAAAGGGGTAAACGAGTCCCCGTTCATTACCGTCGAAAATTACACACAGAAACGCTAAAACACGTTCTAGTGCTTCAACAATTAGCGGTAAAATCCCAGGGAGATGGTGACGCAGTAGGAAAAATCTAATTTTTTTTAATATTCATACAACCTTCAAAATTCCTGCTGCTGCTGATTGAATATAATTATTAAAAATGTGCATGAATGTCTAACATTATTTATTCTCGTACAGAAAATTATGAGTAGTAAATTGCAAGTGTTACTTTTAAATTTTCATTTTACATCTACAATTGAAATTTATTAGACACTGAATTTCACTTTTGATTTATTTTCTGGTCGCGAATCTTGAAACAGATATGTGTTTCATGTTAGACAGAATATTTTCCAGGCGCAGGAGAATTTTCATGTGGTATTGATTTCTTTTGATGCATTTAACACAAGAGTGAGCTTTAATACTGTGATGAATTTTGTATATAGACAGATGATTTTAGCGTAATTATATGTGAAATTTTATACGTGAGTTCGAAGTACTGAGAAATCTCCGGGTAGCTTTCCCTTTAGCTGCGCTTTTCATTGCGTTGTGTTTAACGTTCATATTAATTTGAAAGTGTATTGATTGTACTCTGTGATATTGTGAAGATTTATCTGGGCTATCTTTGTGGAATGTTCCATTTGATAAAATAAAACTTATTAACCTATCATCGGAACTGTGCGCTTTCAATTTATTATGAACAAATACACACGCAACCCTTTTTTGGTGTCAGAAGTGGAATTGAATGCCGGTGACAAAAGTGATGAGTAGCAAATAAGACAGCTAGTGACTGCTTTTGCTGCATTCCAAAAAAAAAAAAAAAAAAAAAAAAAAAAACTATGAAAGGGGCCCTCAGCTCCGTCAAAGAGATGAAAGCAGGACAAGAATCCGTTATGGAAGAGATGAAACCGCTTAAGAAAAGAGGGAAGCTGGTCAAGTATCTGTTAAAGCAGCAATGATTGGTGTTCAAGAATCTGTCAAACAATAGATGAGAGCTACCAAGAAAAGATTGAAGTAGGTCAAGAGGAAAAGAAAAGAGAAATTATTATCTGCATATGAGAAAGCAAATTCGAGACTATAGAAGGCAGATCAGACAAGGTTTGCCAAAGAAGTTGACAACACAAGAAGCACCTAGCGACAGAAGGAAGCAATTCTGATGCTTTTAAATTTTTTACCCATGCATTTTCGTCCCTCTCTGAAGCTATCCACATATGATGGAAATTTCTCCTGAGAAGTGTATAAGTCACAATTTTCTATAGTGGCGGACAGGAACGGATGGGATTCCCAAACTGAGGCCTATCATCTCGCCGCTTCTTTGAGAGCAGACACAGCGGATATCCTTCAAATTCTTCCCAAAAGCCAGAGGCTAGACTTCTATACGGCGCTTTGGGGAGAAGTTTATAAAAGATTATAGCAGGCTTCAATTAAAATTCCGTCAGCAGAAGCTCACGGAATCACTACAGGAACTTGCTACGGATGTCGAAAGGCTGCCTTATCTCGTCTTTTCGAAGTGCCCGACAGAAACAAGGGAAATCCCGTCCCTGCAGAACTTGATTGATCGATGGCATCCGGCGGGATCTAAAATATAGAAAGCTCTGCGAATGGCGGATGTCAATAATTTTAAAAGCGCTCTAGTTTACGCCATGAAATTCGAGGCAGCCCAGCAAGGAACTCGACCGCCGCCCAGCCAGAGCTGCTCAAGCTCAAGAGCCAGTGAATTAAATGACTGCTGGTCTAGACGATTTAACAAGACAAGTCAATGCCTGGAGACTGAATATTAGTGACAACAAACTGGTTCTAAGGTGCTGAAAGCCACGTAGGAAGGAATTGCAGAACACCTAGGGCACGGAAAATAAGACCGCTCTTCCAAGAAGGAAGCAAAAAAAGAAATTAGTGGTCATCTCGCGGAGCGGAGTTTGAAAGATAATGAGAAAACCTTATTTTAAAGTGCTTCAAATTTCTGCAAGGAGTGGCGGTAGTAATGGACTCTTTATCATGGGACATATGAATGGAGTTTCTGGCAGTATGGCTATCGATACAGGGTCCAAAGTTAGATCTGGCCAACATTTGGTGGGTAAACTCATCTGGAATCGACATCGACGAAAAATTAAACGGTAACATCACGTTTTGAAGTGCCGCCTTTTATCACACGGCACATGTAGCAAATATTACAAACCCTTGCATACTCGTATTAGGCTTTCTGCGGAAATACAATTTTCTTATTGATTTTAAAAATAACGAACTGCATTTTTCTTTTGAGCACTTAACCTTATCCTCAATTAGTGACGAAAGTGATTCAAAGTTTGAACTCCAAAAATATTTATTTAGAGAATTAAGGTTGGCATGTTTAGCGTATTTTGCTGATATTTTGGGAATTTTAAATGAATTAAACTTAGGATTACAAAGACTAAGTGTTGATTTGTTTACTATTACAGATAAAATAAATACAATTATAAAAAAAACCTCAAGTTTATAATCAAAGAATTGAACAGAAAATAACATTGTAAGATATTTACCACTTTTAGAAAGTTTTCTAGCCAAAGATATTTTGAAAATAAAAAGAATTATCATCCGACATTAAAAATCATTGTTTTCCATTGATATATAATTTCAACATGTATTTTCCAGAGGATTATGAGAAAGAAAATTTGATTACAAGTCCATTTTGTTCAAATGTACCTGAAATTTTATCTCATGGTGTAAAAGAGCAACTGATAGAATTTTTTTGTGATCGAAGTCTAACTGAAGATTTCAAAAATAACACATTTGTTAACATTTGGCTGAACCGTAAAAAAGAATTTAAACGCATTTCAAATAAAACTATCAAATTTTTATTGCATTTTTGCACAATCTATTGTGTGAACAAGAATTTTCTTCCATATTATATTTGAAAAATAAATACAGAACAAAATTTAACGTGAATCTTACGGTCAAAACTGAGCGAAATAGGATCAGATATAAAGAAAGTGATTTCTCTTAAACAGGCCCAAATTTCACTCTAAATTTTAAAATTAAAGTATTATAACTTAAATTTTGATAATTAAAATGGCAGCCAGTTTTTAATTTAATATTTTCTTATGTGTGCATATTTAATATGAATACACAATAGGTTGTGCAAATGGCAGATATTAATATTTCTATTAAGAAATTAGAAATTGAAAATTAATTATTGTAAAATGTAGTGGTGGTACTAAAGCTTTTCAGTTTTTGTTTGGATGGACGTATTAGTCAAAAGGTTGAGAACCGCTGATGTATACCATTAATTAAGAGTTTAAATATAATTTTTCGGGAAAATTCAATAGTTTAAAAATCAGAAATCACACCACTCATCTAAAGAAAATCGTGATGTAGCAGGTTAATTAAGTCAATGTGAATTCGGCGACTGATGTTGCAAATGTTATTAGATGAATAACTCTCGCTGAATATTTCTCGTGAACAATTCGAGCACAAAATAAAATACGGTGAATTACCACAAGTTATTACAGATGATGTTATCAGTCTCTAGAACGAGCGAGATGACTGTACTCCTTTAAGGAAAGTGGATGCCTTGGTTCCGTCACAGATTAAATAATATTAAGTTCTATGCTCAGTTTAATTGATCCGAACTGTAAGTGCGACAAAAATACGAAAAGAAATGGTTCAAAGTTTTAGCTCACATCACATTACAAGTTATTACAGTTATTTCTTGTGAAATTTTGCCGCTCTCAAAAAGTGCCGCCCAAAGCAGGCCGTTCCCACTTTACGCCAGTGATAAATTCTAGGAGGGGAGATAAGTAATCTAGCAATTAGAATGTTTAAATATAGCATCTACAGCTGAAGTAACAGTAAAAGACTCATGGCGATATCAGATGAGCAGTTGCTAGTATAAAATGAATAATCTGTGTTTTGTAAATCCTGTTCTTGATTTTCAAAAGTATTATATAATGTTCATAAAATTTGCATCACCATTTGATTATAACTTATTTATAACGTAATTTATTTTCCAGTTTCTGCCCTTGTAAATTATGCATGAGGCTTCGGCCTGCAAACACAGAAAGGACACAAAAGACTTTTTTTATAACTTAGTTATATTGCAACAATCTACTTCGAAATTAAAAAAATTCGACGAGCGTTGAGGCCTAGTAGACCACGCACGAGTGTGTTTAATACCATTATAAAGTCAACAGATTGATTCGTTGTGCCCGAGTACTCTTGCTATTACATCATTGAAACCAAGTAGGTTAGAATAAACCATAATAGATATAGTGCAAGATCGTTGTTTAGATAATAATTATCACACATTTACAATAATAGTAATTTAAATTAAGATACGAATATGCTATTTGCATTCTCACAAAAAGAGAATAATACTCGCTAATCCATTTTTGAAATGAAATTTTGGAATTTGCAAGTTTATTGAGCATCCTTCTGTGTTTTTTGGCTAATAAAAGGAAATAGTCTCTTAAATTTTTTAATCAATAGAAGTGTATATCAATAGAAGTATAGAATAGAATATCAATAGAAGTATATATAACATAATTCATATTTTTAATTTAAAAAAAGAATGAAGAAATACGAAAGTAACCAAGTACTTTATAATTTACGATGGCATTTTAGAATTGCTACTTGCTCCCTCTAGAGGAATTTATTTCAAACTTAAGATGTCAAAAGTTGTTTCGAGCATAGCTGTTTATGTTTTGTTCCGATGACCGTTATAAGTGGCTATACCTTTCTTGTTCGACTTATTTATAATAAAATACGTGGGAAAAAATTCTTTTTAGTTAATTTATAAAATATCATAATGGAGGGCAACATCATAAACATAGTTACTACAAATAGGTGCTTTGGTTAGCGAAAGAGAACAGTTGCTTAAATTTCGACGTTGTAATGGGGATGTTTCACATTCCAGCCGGTTGAGGCGTGGGAAAAAAAATAATAATAATAAAAAAGAAAAATCCAAAGGTGTTCAGTACGAGACTTAGAAGCCTAGTTATGTCGTTGATTATGAAAACGCGATGTAGGATGATTTCACTGTGTTGTCATCGTGGAGAAAACATTTTCAAGAGGTGACGAGTGGCTCGTATAAATGAAGGCGTCAGGTATGTGATTTTTTTCCTCTTGAACTGGTGTCACATTATTCATTCCTTAATTAAATTCGCCAGTATAAAATTTTTTGCAGTTAACTGTGCGATTTCTGTTATTATTAATTTTTTTTCATGAAAAATGTCTTTTCTTCATTAATAATTAATGCTGATCCCTTTAAATATGAGATGTGCACAATATTTTTTCTTCTGAACTACTGGAGGTACTTTTGAAGTTCATAAATGAAATTTTTCGCTGATACCATACATTATATTCATATTTACAATTATGGTTATATTTTTCCTAAATTATTTTCTAAAATTTGAGATTTATATAACATTTTATTAGTTTAGCATAAGATACAAATTCTCGGCTTGTGTATTTAATGGATGTTAATCTTCAAATATTTCTTATTTCGGCTAATAAGTAAAATTAATGGTAATTTGAATTTTTTCTCCTTAATTAGATAATGTATTTAGCAGATCATTTTGAAATTACGCTAAATAACATAATTTCAGCTTAAAATTTTAATGTATCTGCAGTTCTATTCTTTAAGTCTTATTTTTAAAAACATTTTCTAAATATTTTCATTATATTTTGTCTGATTATATATACAATGCGATAAACTATGATCAGCATAGTATAAAATTATTTATTACATAAAGAGTTATGCTGTGAGCATTTTTATGCAGTATTTTGATAGATTTATTTTCAGGAATAATTCTGAAGAAGTTTAACTGTAATATTTGAATAAAGTTTTTAGAGGTAGTTAAAAATTTTAGCTCTTTGATGGTATTATTTTGAAAAAAGAACAGTATTAATTGTTGAGTTATCAAAAAACAAATTTTTCTTATGTGATTTTGTTAATCATTTGTTATTGCTGGTGCATATCAAATTTATGGTTCCTTAAATATTACATCTTAAGTACTAGAATACTGTAAAGTAACTAGCAGTATATCCATCTCCATATAAAAAAATCTAATAAAAGAAACATGTATAAAAATGTATAATATTTAAAAATCTATTATCTTTATATATTTTTTTAAAAAGTTGGTTGTCACTTATTTAAAATTGCTCTAAAAAATGTAAACATAATGTAAAGGTTTTGAGGAAACTAGTTTAAGTTGACTTCATTTAATTAAAAAAAATTTTTTTCTAATCGGACTAAATAATAAATAAATAAATAAAACTTAATAGTTTTAATTGCTACTTATCATATCCTTGTAGTTTTTTTTTAAATGAAGTTCTGTAGGAGAGAAATGGAAATTAATCTGATTTCTTAATTTTACTTTCAACTGATATAATCAAACTTTTCCTAAAGGAATCGAATCTTTCAAGAACAGTTTAAAGAGTTTCAATATTCTGTATCAACAGTTAATTAGTTGTATTAGAAATGCTTAAAACACTGATTTTATTAGATAATCAGTGTCATGAAGTATCTGAAGATGAATGTTATAAAGTTTCTTTATGATGAATGCAGTTATTTCTGTTACTTGTATATTTCTGATTCATATATTTTTATCTTACATATATATATATTTTCTGGCATTACATTCTTATTTCATTTGTTTTATTTAATTTGGATATAGCAAAGCAACAAGAGATATCTGCCTAAAACTGTTTATATTCATGTAATGTTATACAAGGGGATTGTGAGATATTTTGCAAGCAAGGTTTTTTGCAAAGATTCAAGTCTGGGTTGAACTATCAGTGGTTAGTGGCCTTTTATTCAGTTAGCCAATGGTTGATGTACCATTGTTATTTCTGTTGCTTTTAAAATTTTGAATTTAATGCAAAATAAGGATATAGGTCTAAAATAATAGGTAAAAATATATTTACGGGTACCCCTTGGCGGTACATAGACACCCAGTTTGTGCAATTCAACTTGTTATTTTGGCTTTAAAAAGTGGTAAAATCGCTTCTACCCAAATCCAAAATAACAAATCAAAGAATTGTACAAACTGGGTATCCATGTACACATCAACCTATTTTCACTTCAAAAAACATCAGAGAATTGCACAAACTTTGCATTGTGCACTCCCTTGACTTTTTTTATGTACACATCGATCTATCATTTCACTAAAAAGTCAATGGAGCAGCCAACAAAAAATATGCGGGGTTTCTAGATCATGGGACACTTGAAGCGGGGTGGATCTACAAAAAATGTTTTATAGAAATGTAGGGTCAAAGTGACGGGTTTAAGACAGGAATGCAAAAAAAACGACCGAGAGGAAACTGTGTTTATGCCAAAATCAAACAAAGTGTTCTTGTAGTATTTACAGAAAAAGTTCAAAATGCGACACCAGCAGTAATACATGCTTGGTAACATCGCAGAAGAGATTGACGAACATTTTGAAAAACAACAGGCATTTCGCACACGCTTGCAGTAGCAATGGATAGTCGTGCAACAAGGTCCTCTAGTGAGCCAATGGGAGTCTCGTAAATAATGCGTTTCAGATGGCCCTATAAAAAAAAATCCAAGCTGGATCAATCTGGCGAATGGGATGGCCATCAAACGGGTCCACCACGGCCAATCCGTCGCCCAGAAGTGTCCCATCCAAGTAATTGCGGACCCGCACGTGGTTATGGGCTGGTGGACCATCATGCTGGAACCACGTGCAATCACGAACGACAGCCAGAACATCCTGCAGCAATTTCGGTAGCACCTCTTGCAGAAAAATATAACATAAGCCATTTGTACATGCAGGTAAGGAGCCTATGAGGTAGTCGTGAACAATACGTGCCCACAAATTCATGGAGAACCGAGTTTGGAATGCATGTGTATGTGTGCCGTGTGGATTATGAGTTGCCCACATGTGCATGTTGTGGCTATTAAAGATGCCGTCCTGTGAGAAAGTTCCCTCGTCTGTGAATAGCACATGCATTGGGAAATCAGCCTGCACCGCACACTGCTGCAAGAACTAATGACAGAAATAAACTCGAAGAGGGTAATCTGTTTTTTGCAAGGCTTGGACTCACTGCAAATGGTATGGATGCAAACCATTTTCATGCAACCGTCTCCAAAGGGTGGAATGACTCAGCTGCAGATGACGTGCAATAGCTCTTGTACTTGTCTGAGTGATTCATGCACAATGTTCAAGATGGATTCTTCAATGTGAGGTTGTCGTGCACTTCTTCCACTCCTAGTGTCCTAGTGTCTCCTGTCGTCCTGTACTGGATACATCATTGAAAAAGACTTTATAGATACCTAAACCAATGTTTCTATGTGAATCAGAGGTGGCTTCAAATGACCCCTTTTTTACACAGAGACCGATACAACCTCTCGAACATTGTGTGCTTCGGCATACGCCTGTTCGGAAACTGTTCCTGGTACAACCGTAGTGCTGCTCTGCCGTTCCCATTAGCAGCACCATACATAAGATGCACGCACGTCAGCTTTTTCTCTGTGCGTAAACTCGCACCTCGCGCTCGACATCAGAGTTGCGAATGATCTTCTGATACATCGGATCGTGGTTTGTCTGGCTCACTATCACCCTCTACCGCTGCATTGCCAGCCAATCACAGCTGTAGTTCCTATTACTGTTCCCTTTTTTGAACATTTCTTGTGAATACTGTATTGCTGCAAAGAAGCACTTTGCGTTGATTTTGTACATAAACACATTTTTCTCTCCTGTCATTTTTTTTTTTTTGCGATCCATCAAACCACCTTAACCCGTCACTGTAGACCCTACATTCCTGTACAAAAAATGCATGTTTTATTATGCTTCACCACCCCTACAAGTTTGTCCCATGATCTATGAAACACCCTGTATAATCTCAATAAACTACATTTTAAACCAAACAATGAAATAACATAGAAAAGAAAATTTATTTTAGCATCTTCATCTTGTGAATTTATGTGGCATCGTCACATAAATTCACAAACATAAGAGTGAAAAATATCCTCCGTAGTGTCAGTATCCTCCAATGTTCGACCATACGCATTTCCTTCCTACAAACAGGACACTTATAATGGCAACTAAGTAAACCTTCATTTACACAGCAGTCAATTAATGCTTTTTTCTCTTTCATTCCAAATCGTACAGAAATCCCTTCAAATTAATCTTACAACATTCAGCCATTTTACCTTGTAAACCACAAAATAACAATGTACTTCTTATTCAAAATCTGTCCCATCATTCAAATTCACCGTAGTCATGCAACCAATTATGTCATAATATAATAGGGCTTCCATAGCATTCAACTGCTCAGGTTACCATAAATGAAACAACTTACGAATAAGTGAAACAACTTAGTGATGATCCAAGGGGCACCCTTAAATCTACTCTAACCAAATATTCTTAGTAGTATTATAAAAACAATCTTTTTGCATATATTCAGAATATCTCTGGATATTTTCTGAGTATAAGCCATAAAAATGAATTGATAAGGCAGTGCGTCTCCCATGGCCAAAAAGACTTATATGTTAACTCACAATGTTGCCAAAAAGTACTTTGTGGTATCTCAGGTATGCACGTAACATCTATTCGTATGTCTTTAATTTTTGTCAGTATGAATTCAGATTGTGATTTCTGCTGTGGGACTGCATGTTTTCAGTGAACTGCATAGTTCATTTTTCATCATCTTCACCAAAATCTTAGACTTCGTTTTCTGTACATGTAGAACACAATCTGGCTTTCTTAAAGGCATCACGTGCCTCTTTATCCTTCACATTTTAGGATTTTCAGTATGTTAATGTATGAATTCAGTTTCACCATGTATGTGTGTTTCAGTAGATGTAGATTTGCACTTTTGAAGTTTAACTGTCATTTTTCTGACTCACGTTTCTTTTTAAATTGAGTCTCTTTGTTTGTGTCATATAAAAAATTGTATTGGAACTGGAACGTTTGCTCTCATTTATTTTCATTATGCTGGAGTGTATGTTGAAGTTTAGCTATTCTTGGGTGATTGTGCCCTATTTATAATGCCGAGGTTGTGCGGTCCTCTGGAGTGTTTGTAGCGAAAAGAAAGCTGTGTGTATAGGACAAAAAAGTGAAATGACAGAAGGATTTCTAAA